GTGTCTTGTGATACCGTTTTAGAATCTTCCCTTCCCATAATTTCGGTATTTTGTTGGCATCTAGGACTGATGCCTCTGAGATGTCTGTGAGATATCTATTTCCTACGTGCTTCTGTCTAAAAGCTGCGGCGAAAATCATTGTGGGAAAAATTCATTTGCCTGTGATGCCTATGACTCTAAAAGCCGTGCTAATTCGAGTTCTATACATCCTTAGAAGTTGTGATATTCTTTTATTTGAGATGAGACACCAAATGTGGCGCTCCAACTGGCAATTTGAGACGGAATCCAACTGAGTTGTTTCCTGCTATTTATGGTTTTTTTGAGCCAAAGTTTGTAAGGTATACCAGTACCCCCCATTTCGGGTCGATGTGGTGTGGTCGTGCCTATACGGGCCAGTTCACCTGCTAAGCATTTTCCTGTTACGTCATTGTGACTAGGAGCCCAGATGAGGCTGATGTCATACTGTTGTGCCATCTCGTGATAAGCTGTTCTGCAGGATGAAACTGTTTTTGAGTTACTTCTGATCTTGTGATTACTTGTAAGTTGTGATCGATGGGATCGATTTTATGGCCGCATGTCTGTCGCGGAAAATCTTCGCTTCGCCGTTGGAGATGCCTGATATTTTGAGTTGTTGTAGTGTTTTTTTTTAATTGCCATCCTCTCAGCCTGGAAGAAGCTGCAGTGATCAGGAAATCTAAAGGAGACCTTGATGCCAAGCTTTTCGGAGTATACTCCTCTTACCAATTTTTTTCTAATTTTGAGCCGTCTATATAGAAGCTTACCGCGTTCTCTGGGTCTGAGAATGATGGTGCTGAAAGGGGTGTTTACGTGTTCCCTAGGAATACAGTAGTCTGTGCGGAAAGGGACTTGTAGATCGTTATGAGCTTCAAAAAAAACTTTGAGCAAAAAAAAAAAATTTCTTATCTCCTTGATAGAAAACTCACTATTTTAGTGCGCATTCAAACTTTAGAATTAATAAAAAAATGAAATATAAAACTAAGTTTTTTCGCTTGGTGAATACTATGCTCTCATTGTTTTGTCCTTCTTACGCAGACACTCAAATGTTAAACGTATGTGCATTTTGCACATCGCTGGTTCAGACACACTTTCGTATGATAATATTAATTTGTACACGTCCGTCACTTTTTGGGTTCGGTGACGATTTATTTGTCCGGAATGTCACAGAGATAGAAGCACGGGGGCATAGACAGTCCCTTTAACAAAATTGAGGGCCTTGCCATTCCCTCAATTCTTGCACTTGCCATTCCCTCAATTCTGTAAGACCGCAAAAAAAAATTGTATACAATAAAATATATGGTGATTGTTTTTGCCACTGTATGCTTTTTAGAACAATTATTTTTAAGTCAACAAGCCGGTTGGTAAAGCTCCACTTTGTAGGTTTGGTTCAGGTTCGAAATAGAGGTTTGCATGAATACAGTCGAAGCAGTATTTGGTGGTCTGACTCAAGGTTCTGACTTACTGAGTGAGACGTTGAGTAAAACGGATTTGCAATGCGAAGCAATGCACGAATGAAAATCAAGCAAAGCAAGTACGTCAGAACAGATTTGAGTGAAAATTGGTAGGGAGGTAGTTTAGAGCCAGTAGACGGACATAGGATACTTTTTATCCCGTTCAATAGCGGGAATTATACTCCTCCAAAATCGCTGCACTTATAGTAATGAATAACAGTAAGTAGGCTGTGAGCGTAACGTATCGTACATTTATGTGTATGTCATATGTCTCTAAAATAGGGCCCTGCCGACCACTTATCTAAAGTCAGCAATGCCAAGAAAACGCAATTGAGCCAATTTGAGTTCCAACGGTCAATTCTAAAGCCGCGGGAACTATAAGAGCACGAAGATCAGTAGAACAAATCGAAGAAGATAATTAAATTGAGCATGGCGCAGTTACGTAAATCACAATCGAATGAGGCAAGAGATGAACGTAATTAACAAAGACAACTGCATCGAAGAGAAGTGCTCAGATTAAAAGTTATAAGTAGAATTAACCAACAAGTTCTTCCAACAAGGATTTCATCGAGGATTTACATGATTTACTATTTCTTTGACTAGCATTCCAGATTCCTGATTCCTTATGTTGAATATTCTGCTTATTCCAAAGTGATTATTGGTACTTTGGAAAAAGAATGCCTGTATTTTCATGCACTCAAATTTGAAAATGAGCCAGTTGCTCATCAGGAACAGTACAACTACCCGAAATTGGAACAACACCTAAACCATTGAGCGGCATACTTCTCGGTACAGATCCAGATTCTACCCTGTTCCTTGAAGTTAATTCGTACATTCAATGTATGCTTCCAAATGACATCGTTTTTACTCATCATAGATATGAATCGTGAGCTACAGTACGATACTGTAGATATGACAGGCATTGTTAGTCGCATTACTCGACTACTTAACGACGAACAAAAAAGAACAAGCGAGCATTATGCTCGCAGATGCGGCAGGACAAGGATTTTTTTTATGCACCAGGTGGAATGTGAAAAACATTTCTTATTTTGTTACTTCTTGCCGAGTCATGATTAAACAAATGGCATCGCATTGGGCATTGCATTTTCCGGCATTGCAGCAACTTTATTAGATAGAGGCAAAACAGCTCATTCAGAATTTAAGCTGCTATTGAACATTCAAAATAATCCAGATGCAGTGTGCAATATAAAAAAACAATGTATGGGAATAGTGCTGAAACAATTTAAAATAAATATTTTGGATGAATGCACTGAATGTCACGTAAACATTCGCTTGAGGCATTGGATTGGACATTTAAGGATATAAAAAACAAGGATAAACTATTTGGCGGCTCTTTTTTACTCCTCTCAGGTGATTTCAGACAAACTCTTTCCGTTATTCCACTTTCAACGTACGCTGATTAAATTAATGATTGCTTAAAATCATCGCGACTGTGGCGTATTGTTGAAAAATTACAACTGACGAAGAATGTGCGCGTTCAAATTCTTTGGGATCCATCCGCCGAAATTTTGTTTTAGGTTGTTTTCGGCAATTGGCGCTCCCGCCCGTGAGGAGCGCGTCGTGGTGATGCTTTCTCGCTGTTTAGACTAAAGGCGTACGTCAGCAACTTGTGGTCGGTGAAAATTATAAAGTTTCTGCCCTTCTGCGCGTACTTAAAGTGCAAAATAGCCTGATAGATAGCAGTCAGCTCTCTATCGTGGGTGTTCTTCTTGTGCGTCGATGTCAATTTCTTGGAGAAGAAACTCAGTGGTTGTGTCGATGATCTGAAGTACGACGGAACCCATTGCGTCGGTGCCATTTAGTATAACAACGTAGCGTTTTGCAAGCTCGTTCTTGCCGGCTTCTGGAGACCATAGTATAGGGATTTTATCTTTTTATTGCCTTGGATCAGCGTCTGGAGTGTGTGTTGGTTCTCGGCTGCTCGTGGGATAAACGGACGATAGAAGTTTACCCAGACCCAGAAATTTTTTCGTTTGTTAGCAATAAGTAGTTTCTTGAAGTGCCGAATGGCGTCCACTTTGGCTTCGGATGGTTTCAAGCCGTTCTAGCTAATGCCGTGGATTTACAGAATTGGCACTTTTCGGCAGAAGGGCCTTTCGAAGGCGTTCGTGGATCATGTGGAGGTGCGTTACAGGCTAAACCGGTAAACCGGTGTTTACTTGCTCCAAGTTTCTGTAATCGAATTTTTTGAGAAACTTCAGTTTTAACTTAAACCGTATCGCTTCTCGTGTGCTGCAATATATTTGAATGCGAATTAATAATTTGTTTAAATTCAATTCCAAGCATAGCTCAGCTCTACTTCTTCCCCGTCTTATCGCATGTCTGCATTTTTCCTTTGCACTCTCCATAGCTCCTGCTTCGGCTTCCTATTTGGTTCAAGGTAAAGGGTTTTTTAACTTTTTATATATTATATTTTTTTCTTGTATTCTTAATTAATAATATAGAATTTAAACTGGTCTGTTCTACGAAGTCTTGTAACAAATCAATCCCCTCATCCCAGCCTACCATCCATTGCTGGCTATGTAAGCCTCCCAGCCTACCATCTCAGCCGTCAATAACGCAGCCGCTCATACCTTTGGCCACCCTAAGAGCTAGAACTGAGAACAATTCGCCGTCCGAATTTCTCAAGGAAAATAAGCAATTGTCTGATATTTCCTCCGAGGTATCCCTTCAAGTGATACCACAGGTCCTAGTAAACGAAACCCCCGTCAGAGTCACCCAAAAGGTTATTCCACTGCCCGGACCACCGGCACAGACTAATGCTGCAGTTCTCGTACCTGCGACACCAAAACCATCGAAACATATATTTGTTTTTCGGCTTGCCCCCGATACTTCAGAGATTGATATCTAGGCTTATAACAAAACCAAAACTAAAGCCGATATAAAGGTGGAGGACATAGCGAAATGTAAATATAATTATGTAAAACGCACGTCTTCTTCAAGATTCGTGTGCCTGCGCTTATGTTCATGACGATTTGTTCACCCAGTTTTTGGACAGAGAACATTTTCGTCTAAGAACATCAGCCTAGTTCTAAAAAAAGTAAGCTAAAAAAGTTTTAAAACCAGTGGGAGTGAAACTTCCCCACATTTGAAGCACTGACCCACCTTTCGCCTCTTCTTCGTCCACTAACCCAAAAATCTAGTATCGTCACTAACACTTACCTATCAAAATACTAGGGGGCTACGTAGCAAACTTCCCAAACTATATTCTAATAGTTCTTTCTTTGCAACCCATATTATATCTTTTACAGAAACTTGGTTAAGGAGATCCGAAGTTTTTCCAAGTAAGTACACCATTTTTAGACGGGATCGACCTCTTGCCACTCTTGCTAAAGAGGTGAAATCACAAGAGTTTGGTGACATAGAATTTATTTGCATTAAAATCATTTTGGCCGCGAAATCTTTATACATTACATGTTCATATATACCGCCCTAATATCCCTGAATTAAAGGGGTCCAACGTCGATAACTCACCATCTTTTTTTTTTTTTTTTTTCCTTATTACTTCTCTTAGGAGCTTAGGGCCTCTACAAGGGCTCTCCACCTAACTTTATTTGCCGCTGTTTGCTTTATTGTGTCCCAGCTGATGTTCTTCCGGGATATTTCTAGGAGTGCTGTACGGCGCCAGGTCATCTTTGGGCGACCCACTCTTCTGCTTCCTTGTGGGTTCCATTCCAGAGCCATCCTTACGATGCTTCCTGGTTCCTTCCTCAGAGCGTGGCCAATCCATTTCCATTTCCGTTTCTTTATTTGTTCCTGGATTGGGACCTCTCCTGTGCAGTGCCATAAGTCCTCATTGGCTATTCTATCTGGCCAGAATACCCCAAGTATTATTCTTAGGCACTTATTGATGTAAGCCTGCAACTTCATCAATATCCTTTGAGTGGTCAGCCACGTCTCCGATCCGTATAGCAGTATGGATTTTACACACGAGTTGAATATGCGCAGCTTTGTTTTTCTGTTTGTCTGCTGGTTTCTCCATACTCGGTGTAGTCTTCCAAATGCAGACCTCGCTTTGCGCAGTCGGTTCTCCACATCACTTTCCACTCCACCATTTGATGTTATGATAGTACCGAGGTAGGTGAAGCTGTCCACGAAGTCGATGGTATTATCTCCGATTGTGATGTTGTTTGTGTTGGAGTTGTTGATCCGCATAGCTTTCGTTTTTGATGCGTTGATCTTTAAGCCTACTGCGCTGGCTCGGATCTCGAGGTCCCTAAACTCACCATCTTATCACCTTATAATTCAGTCGATAACTTATCACTTATTACCCTATGTCCCTAGGTCAAATTAACCATGTTAGAAATTCGTTAGGTCGGCTTTTAGGCTTATGCTTTGTACCTGATCCCGATGGTACCGCTCTCTCCAGAGCTTTCTCCCTGAGGATCCATATCACCCCACGCTGGAGGTGTCAATCGAAACCATTCCTGGTATCGATCAGATGGCTCCATGAGTGGAAAATAAGTTTCGCTGTTTCCGTAAAGCTTATTTTCACAAATTTAATATCCTTTTCGATACATATGATTGGACCCATATTCTGGCGTGCCCCAATCCTAATGTCACCTTAGAAAAATTTAATTGTAATTAAAATACATTTTTTGACTCCTGTGTGCCAAGGAAATATCCGTCCGCTTCAACAAATCCTCCTTGGTTTACAAGGTGCCTCACTAACCTAAAAAATACTAAAAATAGGCTCTTACTTAAATATAAAAAAACCTGCAGTAGTATTGATTTCTCAAGATATCTACTAGCTCGGTCAAATTTTACCGTTCATAACGCTGAATGTTACAGGAATTATATTCGTCGCTGCTGTATAAAATTTACTCAGGATCTGAAGCAGTTTTATAATTTTGTAAACACAAAGCGTAAACATGTATCTTTCCCACCACGGCTTACGTTTGAAAATTCATCTGCGACCTCTGATTAGGTCATTGCCGATCTATTCGCAGAATTTTTTTGAAACTACTTATTCTCTGCCTAAATTGACCGATCAGATTTACGCATACAACATTCAATCAGCAAATTTTATTTTCTGCCCGTTTTTCTCCGAGAATAGCTTATTATCTGATCTTCTAAGGGTCAAACCCATTTATTCGCCAGGCCCCGATGAAGTACAGACTGTGTGCTAAAATACTGTGCCACGGCTCTGTGCAAACCTCTTCTATGACGTTTCAACTTATCTTTGGAAACCTCGATTTTTCCCCTTAACCCTCTAATGCCACTTTCCACAATAACGCAAGAAATTAAATGAAATAATTTTTTCTAAATTGATTTGTGCTTTCTTAACTCAAAAATGCTTTTAAAAAGAACGTAGAACCTTTTTTTTACCTGTAAGGTGAGAAAAACTGAATAGGTGCCTGAATCAAGGCACCCTTAGGCACTTGAGAGTAAAAAGAATCAATTTTGTTTTGCCATGTAAAATTTTATTTTTTGGTATGATACTCTAAGAAACAGTTTTTATTAGATTTGCAACATAAATGTAAGTTGCATTTAGGGCAAATGCATTGTGTTTGTGATGTTTTGCATAATTTGCAACGACGTTTTCCAATCTCTCGCTCCAACCAATGAGGAAAATGGTTTACCTGATCAAAACGCAAGCTTGATATAGGGTGCTTTGATTTTTTTCCTTGTTTAAGGCCAAGCTGTGGTGATCGGTGAGACAGTGGAGACTGTGCTGTTTGATCTATCCGAGAGGATAATGAGTTTATAGTTCGCACTAGCTGAGAGCACGGCGATCTATATGTAGATGGACGACCTGGTAAATTTTTGCATTTGTATGTTACCATACCTGCGGCCACCGCTTTTCTAAAATCTGGGAGCTCCAACATTTTTTCCTTGTTCGCCTCGTTCGCCATTTGTATACGACTGTATAATATATAAGAGTTCGTTACTGCCATATCAATTAAATGATAAAAAATTCGAGTTGCGGCATCCCGAGTTTTGGCTCTAATATGGTAACGGCCCATTAAACCATCCATAAGGTCTACGCCGCCCATGTGAGCATTATACTCCTTAACAATTTGGGGGCAATCAATTTCAACGTATTTTTTAGATTTTCTGTCGAACCGTGGAATTTTTTATGTTCCTTGACGCGGATCCTTCCTTGCAAATGGTTTAACTCCCACATATGATGACAAGAAACGAACGGCTTTGCTGTCTTTCCACAGAACATTTGTTATTTCAATTCCATATGAGCAACCTACGTACTCAATCATAGAACCTCTTGGCAATTTGTTGATGGTCCCTTCATTCGGTAACTTACAATTGGGGATACGATTTGCTCGAATCGTGCCAAGACTGTAAATACCTTTCGCACGTAGATACACCATCAGAGGCAGTGAGGTATAAAAATTGTCAAAGTAAATAATATGATTTTTAAAACTTTGAACGCTTTGTGTCAGACGGACAACAATGTTAGCCGAAGCACCAAGATCTGGGTGACCAAGCAAGATCACATTATCTCCTGCACCGCTGTATACTTCAAAGCGGTATGCGTAGCCAAACGAATCGCATAGTACAAATAGTTTGATACCCCACTTGTGTGGCTGAGGAGGTGAAAGTTGACGGTTGCACAGTGCGGACGCACCGCGGGCGCGCTCCGAGTAAACGTAGTTTTTCCCGGTCGTGCTGCAATCGTAAAGTGTAAACAAGACGTCAGGTGACCTTTGCGAGACGCAAGCTATGCTCACCTGTCTCAGGAGGAGTGTTCCTAGAACGCTGGTGGCATCTGCGCCGATCCCGACTCCTAGGTCAGGGGCGAAAGGGGTAAGCAGGGCCTCTCTTGCTTGTTCTCCGCTACTCTCTCCCCGTGGTTTCCTCTGCCACTGTTCCGCGGGAAAATCCGCGGCAAACACTTGGCGCTGGTAGAGGTCGCGGCTCCCTATAAACAGCTACAGATCTACAGTGCTGGGAAACGACTGTCCCCCACTGACCCCCCCCTCCGGTAGAGGGCGCCAGTTAGCGTATGCCGACGCCGGCAGAGGGCGCCTGTAGCAGTTTTTAGTTTCCCCCCCGAGCGAAATAGAGCATACACCAAGGCGCGGCGTACGCTCCATCACCGCTCCATCAGCGCAGGACGGAAGGCGAGGGTGGTGACAAACGGTGTTAAAGGTCGCGGAGCAGACTAAATGCCAACCCCACCGCCTCGGCGGTACACACGTGAAATGGGGCACTGGCGACCGAGTAGGGGCGGTATAACCCCCATCGTAGCTTCGATGGATGTCCCTCCTTCTCCTTCGTCCCTCTCACCCATCCAGATAAACCCACGCTGCGTCTGACCCACAATGGGCGGCGGCGTGGTCTGCGTCTGCGCCACATTGGCCGGCAGCTATCTCACCTGGCAGGAGGTATAAACTGCAAAAAACCTGGCAGCAGGTATAAAATGCGACTTAAACAAAACGGAATGGAAGACAATAACAAAATTACTCCAGGTGGCACCCACAATAGTGGAAATCCACCCGCGGGAACCCCCGCGGTTAGGGCAAGGATTCTGGAGGCCCTACCTTACATGCTAAAAAAACTGCTCCACCGGCGGCGCACTTGGCCGGCGACGCAGAACCAGCTACAAGTGAGACCCTAGAGGAGCTCCAGGCTTTCGGGCGTGGAAATAAAATAAAGAGAACCCCCCCCAAGCAGACAGGGAGCGATCACACCCCAAAGAGGCATCGGGACGAGCAGTCACCGCCAGGAAATTCCCAACCGGAGAAAAAATCCAAAATGCCGCTAACCCCCATAGACGAGATGGGCGCGATCCTGGAGGACCTTTTGGCTAAGGTGAACGACCAAAAGGTACGAAGCATTAACCAGGTCATGAAAAACTCCTTCGCGAGACTGAAGGAATTGCAGGAGCTGCTGAGGGACCAGAACTTCTTTCCCCCGAGCCAGGAAGGAAGGGCCAGGTGCGGCTGCAGCGGGGAAGCACCGGGCTGCAGTAGTTCTCGAGTCGAGGAAGCTACTCAGACCTCACCGGAGCGAGCGTCTTTCAGCCAAGTTGCTAGGACGAAACGCCCACGAGAGCTGCCTCCACCTAATAGGGCAAACCAAAATGGCAAAAAGGACCCCAAGATAAGCCAGCCCAAGAAGAGCCGCCCCGACGTGCTCATAATAACGGGGAACGCAGGATCCTCATACAGCGATGTCCTCAAACTGGTTACCCGACGGCAAGATGGCAAACTCAATGATGTCAGCCAAAACGTTAAAAAGATTAGGCGCACGGCAAAAGGCGATCTCCTGCTGGAACTGGCAGCGAAAGATGCAAACGCTCTCAAGATGCGACAGACCCTTTCCCAGGTGCTGGGCGAGGCAGCGAGCGTTCGTGCGGTCACAGGCGAGACCACCATCGAGATCCGCGACCTGGACGACCTTACCACGAAAGACGAAATAGTGGCAGCTATTAAAGCCCGAACGAGCGGACAGGAGGAGGCAATCAGGGTGAAGTCCCTTCGCCCTGGCTTCTCTGGAACGCAAGTAGCCTTTTTGGGAGTGGAGCCGAGCCTGGCATCGAAGATCCTGTCCGAAGGCAGGATTAGGATAGGATGGACCATGTGCAGGGTCAGGGAGCGCTCGGCCCAGCGTCGCTGCTTCAGATGCCTCAGTTTCGGGCACATCGCCGCTTATTGCAAAGAGCGAACCGACAGAAGCAACTGGTGCTTTAGATGCGGTAAGCCAGGTCACAAGGTAGCTTCCTGCACAAACGCGGCTGAGTGCTTCCTCTGTGCAGTTGCAAACAACGCAGAGCGTGCCCACGTAGCTGGCAGTAAGAGATGCCCTCTCGGCAAACTTGATGCAGCGACACAAAGCAGAGTATGAGGATCATTCAGATCAACCTAAACCACTGCGAAGTAGCCCATAGCCTACTCGAGCAGGTTTTAAGAGAGAAGCGGGCAGATATAGCCCTAATAAGTGAGCCGTACAAAAAAGTCGAGACGCAAAGCTACATCCTGGACTCCTCCAAGACAGCGGCTATTTGGGCGCCAGGCGGACAACCCGAAAGTATACAACCCAGAGTAGGCTTCGTCCGGGCCAAAGTGGGCGCGTTCTGGCTTTATAGCTGCTACCTCCCCCCGCGCCTAACACTGCAGCAGTTCACCCACACACTAGACGAGATCGCCCAGGACGCAAGGCACAGATCCCAGGTGGTGATCGCTGGCGATTTCAACGCCTGGGCGGAGGACTGGGGCTCATCGCGCACCAACGCTAGGGGTCGAACCCTCCAAGAGACCTTTGCGACTCTTGACGTAGCCCTGCTGAACACCGGCTCCCAAAACACGTTCAGCAAGGCGGGGTATGGTTCAATCGTGGACCTTACCTTCTGCAGCAGTGGTTTGTTTCGGAGGACGACGTGGTCCCTCAGGGATGACTACACTGCGAGCGACCACAAATACATAGTCTGCGACATAGAGGATAGAGAGCAAGCTTCTACAGCAGCGAAGCCTCCAAGATTCAACCCGGCTACATTACAACCGCTAAAATTCGCACAGGAACTAAGGATTCCAGATCCTTCAGGCGACGTCGAATGCGATGTTCCCAACACCATGGCTGCGGTTCAACAGGCCTGCCGAGCCAGCATGAGGAGTAGCCGTGGGCATTCGAGGCACCATGAACCGGTGCCCTGGTGGTCCCCGGAGATAGCCCATGCGCGCAGAGAGTGCCTCCGAAAAAGAAGGTTGCACCAAAGAGCCAGAGGAAGGCCGGACTTCGAACAAAAAAAGAGAGGACTTCGCGGCAAAGAGGAAGATTCTGAAGAAGCTGATAAGGGAGGCAAAGACTAAGTGCTTTCTCGAGATGTGCGACGCTGCAGAGCAAGATCCGTGGGGATCGGCCTACCGGACAGTGGTCAAGAAAGCGAAGCAGGCAAAGCCGATCGCTCCAAAAGATGCCGAAACAATGAGAGCCATCGTGGAGCACCTCGTCACGAAGCAGCCGAGTGGAGTGGAGTCTCCTGGGCCAAGTGGAGCAAGAGAACCTGCCGGCTCTACGCCGGCACAGGAAATAGGCGCCCTAGAAATCGTAGAAGTCGCTAAGGCTATCCAGGTCGGAAAAGCTCCTGGTCCAGATGGGATCCCAGACATCGCAATCAAACTGGCGATGACTGCGTGCCCGGACCGGTTCGCCAGGCGTTTTCCCTAGAAGATGGAAAGCACAAAGCCTGGTCCTCCTCCCAAAGCCAGGCAAGCCGCCGGAGGATCCGTCATCCTTAAGGCCGATCTGCCTCATTGACCATGCCGGCAAAGCCCTAGAGCGCTGCATATGCCGGAGGCTCCAGGAGGCCGTAATCAGCGCGGGAGATCTCTCCCCATTACAATTCGGGTTCAGGGAACACCGTTCCACGGTCGACGCAATTTCCTTGGTCAGGAGGATTGCAGCCAAGGCAATCGAGGGGACCAGATGGGCGGGCGGAAGCAAGGAGTACTGCCTGATCGCCACACTGGACATTAAAAATGCCTTCAATTCAGCCAGGTGGGATGTTATAGTGGAGGCGCTGCAAAATCTCCGAGTGCCGACTAGCATTGTGGAGATCATAAGGTATTACCTCAGTGATCGCACTATTAGGTACGAGACGACCTCAGGCATCCGAGAGCATGCGGCCTCCTGTGGTGTCCCTCAAGGCTCAGTTTTAGGCCCAGCCCTTTGGAATCTTATGTACGACGGGGTCCTCAGACTCGACCTCCCGGAACGTACACATCTAGTTGGATTCGCGGACGACATCGCGGTAGTCGCCGTGGCCAAGACGATTCAGGAAGCAGAGGAGCACTGCAACGCTGCAATTGCAAACGCCATCAGTTGGCTGGAACAGGTAGGGCTAAGTCTAGCCCACCACAAGACGGAGGCTGTCCTGATTTCGAGCAGGAAGCGAGTGGAGACGGCTTCAATCAGCGTGGGAGGACATGTGGTCAAATCAACCAGGGCCATCAGGTACCTTGGAGTAACGCTGGACACAAGGCTTAGCTTCAGGGAGCACTTCGCAGTAGCAAATCGCAAGTCGTTTACTTCTCCAGACCGTCTGCAGCGCAACGATGCTCTACGCAGCCCCCGTGTGGGCTGATGCAGCCAAAACAAGGTCGTATACCAAAGGTCTGACCAGCACATATAGACTGTGCGCCTTAAGGGTGTGCTCGGGCTACCGCTCGATCTCCGACGACGCAGCTCTCGTCATAGCAGGCATGGTGCCACTCGACCTGCTCGCGGCGGAGCGTAAAGAGCTATATCAGGCTCTAGTAGCGCTGAACGGGCAAACTCCGGCAGCGACACGCCGTCGGCTTAAAGAGATCTCGAGAGCTTCGAGTATACAGAAGTGGCAACAAAGGTGGGACGAGTCGACCAAGGGACGGTGGACCCACCAACTAGTCCCCGACCTCAAGAATTGGCTACAGAGAAGTCACGGAGAAGTGAACTTCTGGCTCACGCAGGTCCTCAGCGGCCACGGATGCTTTAGGAGTTACCTCTTCAAATTCGGACACGATGATGACCCAAGGTGCCCTGAATGCGGGGTTGATGAGACGGCGGAGCATGTGGTCCTGGACTGCCCACGTTTTTCGATCCCCAGGCGGAGACTCCTAGGGGAAGTGGCGACGGCGGACGTCATCGGAAGGAGGTTGCTGGAGGACGCCCAGTTCTGGGCAGACTTGAGCAGCTTCGCCGCCTACATGATGAAGGAGCTGAGAAGGCTAGAGCGACTCCGAGCGGAGGCTAGGCTAGCCTAGGCCAACTGTAGTGGGGCGCATAAGCACGCCAATTTCCTGGCCCTGCGAAGCAAAGCCTAGCGGCATTACCGCAGGGGACAGGGACCTAGTAGACACTTTTTTCACTTTTTCTTTTTCACTTTTTCTTTTTTGTTAGAGCTTAGTTTTAAGTCTTTCTTTGTTAATAAACGATTAAAAAAAAAAAAAAACTTGTGTGGCTTATTTGGCATGTATTGGCGCAAGTGGTGCTTCATTTTTGTGCTGCACATTTGTTCATCAACACAAAGGCGGGCTTGTTTGGGCACCGAGTCGAACCGTTGATTCAAGTAATCAACTAGTTTTCGCGTACGAAACAATGGATCGTAGCCTGGTTGACCCTTTTTAATGCGCTGGCTCTCATCACACAGAGAGAAATACTTTTTAATTGTCTCAAATCTGTGTCGGGTCATGCAATTTTGAATGGGTCCGAACGCATTTTGTCCCCAATAACTCCTCAAATTCGGATAGCGGTAAATCGACATGTAAATTAGAATGCCGATGTAATGATGAATGTCATCGATGGTAATTTTGAAATTATTTGAGATGTTGTCAGTTAAAGCTGCGCGCATTGTTTCCTCGACAATCATTTTCATAATTTCTCCACCAAAAAAGTAGCAAAATATCTCAAATGGAGTTTCCAGCCCCTTAATTTCTTCTGTAAGCGAGGAATCTCCTCAAAAGGCTATACAGTTTACATGCAACTGCATCGATTGCTCCCTCCAGAGAATCTTAGTGGGTTCCTTTGTAATCGATTCAAGACCTACCCATATATAAATTATTAATCACTTATATAAAAAATCTCAGTTATATTTGTTTACCAGCAGCATTAAATCCTCCAGTATTTGGTAAATATTCGCATCCCGAATCTTCTATAGTTGGCAATGGCGATCGAGGACGTTTTGTAGCCTTTCCAGTAGACTTAGGATCCTGGGCACTATTTAAAACATTTTCCTTATTGCCAACTATAAAAGAGACAGAATCGGCTTCCTCTAATGCAGCGTTTAGAGCTTCCACCACATTTAAATCATTGTCCTCGTCGTCACTAAAAATATTTGAGACCTCCTCATCTGACGGGACTGACTCAAATAATTTCATTAACTGATCATCTGTCAAGTCGGATAACTTGAAGCGCTTTCGATTTGCCATATTTAATTTAAGAATTTTTATTAAGAAAAACCTCTTTAAACCATTGCAGATTGCAAATAATTTAACCAATTACATATGTGCATATCTGTAATATTTTTTTAATACTAAATTAACTTACCTCTCAGTAAAAAATTAATGGTTTGGTTTAGTTTTATATTTTAACTTTTATATTCAAAAGAAATCCCACTTCACTGCAGCTCAAATTTCACACGCGGCGAAACACATGTTCTGTGCAAGTATAAACAAAAAGTACCGTTAAAAGCTTCTGAGCGCTTTCAAAGCTTCTATACATAATTGAGCATCTATTCTTAACGGCTAAAAAATATTTAAACGTAGAAATAGCGTTTATTATTTTTAAAATTGTAAATAATGTAATGAGTGCCTCAAGGCACTCTTGGGGCTTAGAGGGTTAAGTGGATGGAATCTTTCATAATTCCTTTACATAAAAAAGGGAAAAAGTTCGATGCCGCCAATTACAGAGGCATCTCTCAATTGTCGGCAATTCCAAAGTTATTGGTTTCCAAATGGTTTGCCCCCTGCTTTAACGAACTCTCTAGTTCTTATGTATGCAGATGATGTAAAGCTTTGTCTTCAAATCTTTGGAGAAAAAGAAGCAAAAAAAGAAGAAAGAAGAAGCTTTGTACAAATCCATCTCTGCCCATGCAGTCTTCAGTCTGACCTTCACAACTTTCAAAAATGGTGCTTAGCTTACGATTTAATACTTAATGGATCAAAATGCAAGCATATGTCTTTTCATCGTTCCTGCCATCTGCAGGCTACGTATCCTTTCTATGGGATTGCCTTAGAAAAATTAACACAGGTTAAGGACCTCGGCGTCCTATGAGACATTAAACTTAAATTTGTCGACCATATTTTCTTAATGGTTAATAACACTAGAGCATTCCTTGGTTTTAAGGAGTCCTAGCTGATGCTCTAATTCAGTGTTGCTCATCCCATTGCTCTCGCTGCCCATTTGTTTTTGCAAATGCTCATGCATACGGAGTTGTGTACGACTGTTCACGCCATAAGGTTCCGTTGCTCACGTCATAAGCTTCGTTGGTCAAAGCATACGCAAGGGGCAATTACAATAACAATTTTTTGTGTTTTCCCTGTTCTCCTCAATCATGCTAATCCGAATGCATTTTGTTGTTGGAGGGCCGAAAACATTTCACTGCAAGAAATTCATTCTTGTTTTTGTTTCTGCCAAAATACTCGACCTGAAGCGCTGAATTTGTTATTCGCAGAACATTTTTTTTAAGTAAGAAGCTCTGCATTATTTGTCGTAATATAATAATAAGCTGTTGTAAAAAATGTTGTGCCTTTTTATAATTGCTGTAATAAAATATATATTTTTTTATTATATTGATATTTTTAAACCCCTTGTGAATGTTACTATAATTTTATTTTCAGTGGACCCACATGGATGGGAAAAAAATACTCGCACCAATGTATTGATGATTTTTTGCATTGGTATGGGAGTTTGCTCTTCCGTATGCAGAGCTTGGGCACCACTGCTCCAATTGATGCACAAGCCATTTCAAAAATTCTGAAAGACCGCGAAGAAAAAAAAATTGCTGTTTTGGAAATATCTTGTGGTTCCACAGGGATCTGGTGATATGATTTTTGCAGGTCGATTTTCGAGCAAATCTTCTTAGCGTATGCTAGATGCTCGTTACAGCCAGGATATCGTTACGGAATAGGATATCGACCTGGCACTATTTCGTTGTTCAGTGCTCGGTAGTCGACGCATGGTCGTCACTCTCCATTTGCTTTCTTCACCAGGTGCAATTGGCTGAACGAAGTCGAGGCCCTGTATGACGGCGTTTGGTAATTTAGGGGCGACATATTCCTTTCTCGATGAAATAGGAGGACTCGGATTTGCAGCTTTGAGTTTATAGAGCGCT